CTGAAAATTAAGTGAGAAAATTGAGGGCATTTGTTTTCTTTGCTCTGCTTTCTTAGTGCATTTTTTTGCTTTGCTTCCTAATGAGGGTCTGAGTGGTACCAAATTTAAAAGTAATGCTCAGTTTTAACAAAGTTTCGTTATTTGTAAATTCAACATTACAAATCACTGTCATCAGTTTCATACAATTCTAAACAGAATCTTTAAAAATAGAAGAGAAAAGATGAGAATTATTAGAAAGGCAAAAATCTATGGATTCAGACAAGAAGGCAGAATCTAAATATGGCGCATTACGAATAAGAATTATAATGCAATAGACTGTGAAATAAAAGCAAACTGGCATTATGTGAAAAGCATCTCGATAAGACACTGAATGAAAAAATGGATTTCGATTTAAATATTTCGGAAGTGATTAAAAATTCAACTGATCATTGAATCTGTATTCCACTTATTTCCACATCACCCTGGATTTGCACTCCTACTAAATCATCAGGCTCCGATCGATGCGCAAATGTCGAGAATCGCTCACCATTAACAAATATCTGAAAAATCCATCAAAACTGATTTATTTTTTCAATGAGCTGTAAAAAAAAGTTGAATAGCGTTTAACTATAATCTTTTAATAAAAGACACAAAAATCTCAGATTTCTGGTCCGATCTTTGAAGAAGCCACAATCTTAGCTTACAATCAAACATAAGTCGTGAACCAAGACGCAAAAAGGTTCGAAATCTGTTTTCGTGCCCTTTGACTTGGAATATTCTGGAAGCTAAAAAGAAAAATATTGTTCTTGTAGTTCAGATCATTCTGAAAATCCTCCCCGACGCTTCAGTTTGGGAAACAGTGGATTTCTATAGCAATCACCTATTTCGTCTCAGTCGATTCAAATTGGTTATAAATCAAAATTACTTGGAGTGCGTATTCTTCGTTTTGCAGCTGCAGGTCGAACATCCTGTCTTTTGCGAACGGAATTTTACCTTCTCGCTCCTCTTTACCCCAAGCACCGTTGAACATCGAATTTCGCACCACAACCTAAATTTCACTTTACAAATGGTACTGCTTTTGAATTTTGTTTTCCCTTTCAAGTATTTCAGATCCTGCTATATTATCAGAATTCCAGTGAATTTCAGTGCTACAACGCGCTACGAGAAATTATGAATATTTTTTTGATGTGAATGACTTAATATGACCAGAGTTAATCTGAGTTTATCCAAGGTTTGCCAAAATTGTAAGTTTTCAGGAAAATTGGGAACAGTATTCTCTAAACCCCTTCTTTCGCCCTCCTCCGTACTTCCGATACGAAAATACCCAGAAAAAGGAGACCAAGATTTGATACTGCATGAGGACATTTTATTTTCTTGTACTATAGCATTACATCTTTGCCAGATTTCTCTGTTCGGCGATAACTTACTTTTTCATCAAATCTTGGATTGAAATGCAAGGCTATGTCACCATTCTTCTTCACTAAATTGATGTTGAATCGCTTTCCACGTTTGTCAGGAATTCCAGTAATATGCAGTGATTTGCCAGGCGTCAAACCACCATCCACAATGCCGGATTCGTAAGGAACTGGCTGGAAAATTACTGTTTTTCGACAAAACATAGCAGTTCAACATTTTCAAGAGCAATAAGTAATGAACTCGTTCAAACCTTGAATTTTAAGTAATGAACATGCTTTCTACTGTGATAGTTCTAGTCTGTAGCTTTTATGCGTTTTTTGCAGCAATGCAATGCGAAAAACGCATATTGACGAGAGGCTGTCTGTGTGTCCGTGTGTTTCTGTGTCTGTGTGTCTGTGCGTCTGTGTGTCTGCGTGTCTGTGTGTGCGTCTGTCACGCGCTTTCATCTCAGGACCTATAAAAGCTGCGGGGCTGAAATTTCGGGAACTTAAACTACATGCACGTACCGCCCCCAATCCCCAAAATGGGCGCCAAAACCCACGTGGTACACGCGTACGAGCCCGCCAAAGTTTTTTTTCGGGTCAGTTCATAACTCGAGGACCTGAGAAGCTAGAACACAGAAGTCTTGGGGTAATGTTCACCGCCCAAGCGGCTATTAGTGGGCTCAAACCCAGCCCCGGGTAAGCGTGGTACCCCCGTACGAGCCCGCCAAAATTCTTTTCGGGCAAGTTCATAACTCGGGGTACTGAGATGCTAGAAAGCTGAAATTTTAGGGGAATGTTCCCCGTCCAAGCAGGTGCTAACGAGCTCAGATCCAGCCCCCGGGTAAGCGTGGTACCCGCGGACGGGCCCCCCAAAATTTTTCTCGCGCAATTTCATAACTCGGGGCACTGAGAAACTAGAAGGCTGAAATCTTTGGGGCAATGTTCCCCGTCCAACCGGGTATTAGTGGGATCAAAACCAGCCCCCGGGTAAGCGTGGTGCCCGCGTACGGGACGCCAAATTTTTTTTCGGGCAAGCTGAC